GAAAGAAAATTGTGATGGCTTTTACCTTGCAACAATACCACATAGTGCTGCTCTATACAACTTTATTACAGAGAAGACTTGCTGACTTCACTTAAAATTCTTTTTTTATCAAAAAAAATATGAATACAGAAATATGTATTTAGACTTTGAATTCTTCATTGTACACAAAATGAAGTTTGTAATAAAATCACTAACAACTTTTTTTCTGTGTGGATATATGCAACTTTATTTACTGTTGTATTTAATAAAGTCCTAAATTCTGGTAAATTTCCATCCACGTTGAAGGGTAGCATCATTGTACCGATTTACAAGAAAGGACCAAAATCTGATCCAGACAATTATAGAGGAGTTATCGAGCTGCTTAGGCAAACTTTATACTGCACTTTTAAATAACAGGCTAGTAAACTACTTGGAAACTAAACAAATTGACTACCCATTTCAATTTGGCTTCCGTAGGAACAGGAGAACAGATTGTTTATTTATTCTAAAATAAATTATCGATAGATATGTATATTCAGAAACATCAAAAAAGAAAGTATATGCCTGTTTTGTGGATTACAAAAAGGTCTTTGACAGTATGTGGCGTGATGGCCTATACTAGAATCTGATAATTTCTACAATACACGTAAAAGTATGTATGGTGGGGTGGGTGGTTAGTGATGCGTGGAAATTATCTGTAAGTTTAAGCAAAACAAAATTAATGATCTTTAATAATAAGAGAAACCAAATTGTCAAACATAAATCTTTTTTTTTCATAAAGAAAATGAAATTGATGTGGTTGGAAGCTACTATTACTTGGGAATAGTTTTGTCATCAAATGGAAAGTTTAAATTGGCTTGTAAAACTCTAAAAGAAAAAGCAATGAAGGCAATGTTCGTACTAAAACAAACATTCAATTCTGTATCACGGGGAAATCTTCTCCTCACGTACCAGGGGGGAATCTCGTCTCGTCTCTCTATCTCGTCCCCTTGAGGTGCGGGATCGGGAACGTCACTTAAGCTTTTACAGTCAAATAAGACACACACAACGAAATACGTTTCAACTTTCGTCTTAGTCGGTCAGTCGAGCACTCTATAAGACACACACAACGAAATACGTATCAACTCTCGTCTTTAGTCGGTCAGTCGAGTACTCTATAAGACACACACAACGAAATACGTATCAACTTTCGTCTTAGTCGGTCAGTCGAGCACTCTATAAGACACAGTGCCCTAGGGAAAAGTCCCCAAGACTATCGCAAGGCTGACCCAAGACTCTGTCCCTAGACTGCCCCAAGACTGCGTCTGTCGTGGTGTTCTCGCCAAGACCAACTCAAACAACTTTATTCACTTTCAAAACCTTAACCAATTACAAAGCAGTTAAAAGACTCTAAGGCGTGGCCTTCACACATTCAGCCAATCACACTAAGTACTTTTTGATTAATCGTTCACTATATTACTAACTGCGAATACCAACTGTCAGAAATAGTAGTCCGGATATCGTAATTAGTTCCAAATCACTGAGTCAAGTTCCGTCCAGGACCTCGCATGAGCCTAAAGGATGACAGATATAATAACACCGCCATTCACAAGTAATCAGCTAAATAAGTCGATCAACAGATATGCGCAAACAAATTCATGACACATCCTATCACCCAAACTGAGCTATGCCTCCTGGCATTGCATGTTCATAAATCAACGATACCGTCATCTACTCATCATCATACGGGTTAAATACTAATAAAAAGGTATAAATCAAAAGAATAAAACACACTGATTAAATACAATGATTATAATTCCAAATACAATAGGAAAGGCAACCAATCGACTCGCTTTTCTCAAAACGGTCCGCTGAGGTAACCCTTCGCTGCACTGTCTCCGTTACTAAGGTTACAAACTCGACATCAAAAGGTCAAAAAACTAAGCCGTAGCTGTGTAACCATGTGATCAGCTAATCGCTGCAGTCGACAGCATGATAATGTGATTACCAGGGATTCGTCGCTTGGTTAAAGCATTGCAAGCGGTAACTAATAAACAATGAATAAAAAATTTATTAATCAAACTCCTGTCATATACGATTATAAACTTCACAAACTGAACTCACAAGTCGTTACTCTAAACAAAAGTCCTAACGGCATAGAAACGGAATGCAAAGACAAACTCGCTATCATAACACATTACTCCTTCGGCAAAAAAGACCGGAAAAGGCTAAAACGATAGACACTACTAAGTTACATATAATCCTGTCAATCATGAACAGAAGCTTGCGATATCAAACAATACATATATAGGCGCACCACACTCTCATTTCAAAAAGACATCAAAAAACGTTACAAAGTGCTCTCAACTCAATTCAACTCAAAAAGCGTCAGAAGTATTCTGAAAACAACACGTAAACAAAAACAACTCTTAAAACGTTGGTATCTCTGTACATCGACAAATCTTAAAACTCTGAAAACTCTTTGGGGCGTTTCTCTCCCCATCATATTCCGTACTCATAAACTCAATAAAACACCTTAAAACTTCACAAAACTCAGAACACTGTGTTGCAAATTCTTGTCCACTGAAACGCGCTTAAATCGTTATAAAGGACCTCGCACGTCACTAAATATCAGTTCAAAACAAAGATCTGGGCGCTCATATACTCGTCCTTTCTAAAAGATTCTGAAATCTTCATCTCTTCAGCGTCATTCATCAATGTCATACTGTTATTTCCGAGTCGTCTGTGCCATCGAGCTGCTAGTTCCGTTCACAAGAAAGGCACACCTTCGCCATTTCACAGTTCTTCACAGGATGTCAATATGTGTTAAACATCTGCCCGGGTTCATCCAAAACGTATCATGGGGAAATTCTTCTCCTCTGGGGTTCTCCACACGTGTCAGGGGGAAATCTCGTCTCTGTTTCTATACACGTCTGCCGGAGGTACGGGACCGGGAAAGTCACTTAAACTTTACAGTCAAATAAGACACACACAACGAAATACGTTTCAACTCTCATCTTTATTCGGTCAGTCGAGCACTCTATAAGACACAGCGCCCTGGGGAAAAGTCCCCAAGACTATCACAAGGCTGACCCAAGACTCTGTCCCTAGACTGCCCCAAGAGTGCGTCTGTCGTGGTGTTCTCGCCAAGACCAACTCAAACAACTTTATTCACTTTCAAAACCTTAACCAATTACAAAGCAGTTAAAAGACTCTAAGGCGCGGCCTTCACACATTCAGCCAATCACACTAAGTACTTTTTGATTAATCGTTCACTATATTACTAACTGCGAATATCAACTGTCAGAAATAGTAGTCCGGATATCGTAATTAGTTCCAAATCACTGAGTCAAGTTTGGTCCAGGACCTCGCACGAGCCTAAAGGATGACAGATATAACACCGCCGTTCACAAGTAATCAGCTAAATAAGTCGATCAACAGATATGCGCAAACAAATTCCTGACATCTGTCTCAAACCTCAAAACAAGCACAGCTCTAAACCTATTTGATAAATTGATGGCACCCATCATTAGCTATAAGTGTGAAGTATGGGGAGAGGAAGTCACTAAAGATAGCGATATTATTGAAAATGTTAACTATTCTTTCTGCAGATTACTCTTTGGGGTTAAAAAGAAATTGGGAAGATACCCTTTTGCCATAAATTAACACACAAATAACTAATTTCTCGCTTAAATCAAAACTCCCAGAGACGCCCAAGTAAATACAAAACACCTTTGATGAAGTCAATATAGTAAAAACTGAGTGGACAAAATATGTCCACAAAATAATCAGTGACAACAATCTTGATAATGCAATAAAACAACAAATAAAAATAAGACACCACTCCAAACTACGGCTATCTCTGCTTTACTCAAAGAGAATTATATAATAGAAAGAAGCTCTATTTGATGACAACAGAGCAAATTGGCAAATTATAGAACATTCAAAACACATTTTAAAATGGACAAATATTTCATAACAATGATTAACATTAAACTGAGACACGCCCTATGCCAGTTCAGAATCTCTGATAACAAACTTCATATTGAAACTGGCAGGCATTGCAAAACTCCAAAGAATTAAACAGTTTGTAAATACTGTGATAAAAAGCAGATTTGAAGATGAAATACATTTCCTTATGCACTGCAGTCTGTATAATACACACAGAGTGGAATTATTCAAGTACTCTAAGGAAATTATACTAAATTTTAGTAAGTTAAATGAACTAGAAAAATTCAAAACAATTATGAAATATTGTTTAGGAATAAGAACTACATACAAAAATGTATGCAAATGAGATGTGAGCAGCTCCACCAAAATGTAAAATATTCTTTCCACCATAATTATGACTGTAATGTGATTTGAATGTGATTTTTCACCTCTTAACAATATTAGCTAGTATATTGTATTGTATTGTATTGTATTGTACCGTATAAGTTTGTGACCCTTTGCTTGTTGGTAATATTATTTAGTTTTATTTAGCATTCTGTGTAGTTGATAAACTTAACTGTATCTCAGTGTAGTTGATAAACTTTACTGTATCTCAGTGTAGTTTATTTTATTTTATCTTTAATTTTATTGTTATATGACCATAGAACAACTCACTATAGTTCGTTTTAGTGTTGAATAAATATTAATTAATTGGAACGGTATTAATATTGATAACATACTAGATATGGGACATATTGTACTTAAAACGTATCTTAACAAGTCATTCCAGTATGCATTTACAGGTTCCTTGCTGATTTAAATAGCTACATTTCATTCGGGGAAAATCATTCTCGGTGCCTTTCTGAAGTTGACTTTGATCTGGTCATTGCATTTCAGACATTGGACACTGCATTGAAAAATGCTTCGAAAGTACTCATGTTACATTACCGTGTTCTTACTAAAGTGCGTTTTACTGTTATTGACCCCAAATGTCCTCGTGCTCTACCGCTGCTGTTATGAATAAATTACCGTGATTGCCTTATCTAAAGTCAACTAAACAGACAACGTGCACGTAGAAGTTCACTCACTATATCAGCCCCTGCGTCAACAAGATGGAATTTGAAGTGGAGGCGAACAAACAATTATTGTGGGAGTACACGCCGTTCAATGTATCCAACTTCACGGAGACTTACTCTAACCCGTTCGATGAATTACGGGCAGGGAAAGATCTTGTACGCCAACTTGCTTGGTTAATCGGTGTTCTGTACGCCGTTGTGTTTCTCGTCGGAACTTTGGGTAACGCTTTGATAGCCATCACGGTGGCTTGCCACAAATCTATGCAGAATGTGACGAATTATTTCATCGCGAACCTCGCAGTTTCTGATTTTATTATGTGTATTTTCTGTATACCTTGGACGGTGGTTAATAGTTTAATGAACAACTGGATATTTGGAGACGTCATGTGTAGACTTGTACCCACCATACAAGCTATTTCTGTGTTTGTGTCCATAACATCCCACGTCGTTATAGCCAGCGATCGATGCTGTTTGATAATGTTTCCGTTGAAACCACGGCTGACCCGGGCCACATGTGCCGTTATCATTGCTTTATCGTGGATCTCTGCTACAACACTCGCAATTCCTGTAACATACTTCAGCAGAGAGTACGACCTGCGTAATTACGGCTATCATGTCGTTTGCTACGAGATGTGGCCACAAGAAGTACCCAAGAAAATATATGAGATTATTTTATTACTACTTGGTTATTTAATCCCTTTAATTGTGATTATTATACTGTATGGCAGAGTCTCTTATATAATAACGAGCCGTGTTCTACCGGGGGTTTTCACCGAGGCACAGGAACGACAAGACTTAAAAAAGAAACAGAAAACCAACAGACTGTTGATTGCAGTTGTTATGACTTTTGCGATATGTTGGTTTCCAATGTACACGATTCGCGTCATCACTGAGATCAATCCAAAGATAATTAGCGGCGAATACTATGATTTAGTATTCATTATATGTCACTGGTTTGCCATGAGTTCAACCGTTTACAACCCTTTTGTTTACGCCTGGCTGCATGAAAAATATCGTAGGCGGTTGAAATCAGTATTCGTAGCAAAATGCTTGCGGCGTTCCTCAATCTATCGCCAGCACATCAAAGATGGAGCGACAGCACATTCACAGGCTCGCGAATACGTCACAATTCCCCCTAAATCTACACGATTTAGTTCCTTGCAAAATTTTAAAGGAGTTGACGCAGTGTAAATATATTCTCTACTCGGTATACCTGGAAGTAAACAGTGTTTGTCTTTAGTTGTCAGAGTGGAGGTCAGTACATTGGACCTTATAATTAACGTTACACATTTTCGTTGTAACGGCCCAATTTTATATCGTGGCTAGAAATCTGTATGCATGTACTTCATATTCGAAATATTTCTGGTTTCTGTTCATTCAGCTTTAGTTAGTCAAACGTTTAAACTATTGCAGTGAGGTTAAGCAACCTATGGATTTGGGAGGCAGCACTAGATGTAGCATCATAGAATTTGTACCAAAGTTTGATTGCCTTAATTTTTTTAATTATTGTCATCTACTAATGTTTGTCTTGCTAATTGAAAACACGCCAAATATATGCTAAGCAAAGCAAAACTCTATTGATTTTCACCGGGATATACATGTCTATCGCCTTGAATATTTACTGCTTGTAGTGGGACTTAAAGACGTTACAGTAGTAGAGTTTTTTGGCAAATATTATTTAGAATGAACTCATTATACAATGAAAATTTCAGAGCTCTATCACTAATAGAATATACTTTTAAAAAAAATTCAAAATTGATGACCTGCATTGCTGTGATGACCATATTTGCATGTATTTAAATAAATAATAAATCGCACAGTCAAGTATAGCATAGTAAAATATTAGAACATCTTTAGAGGCTTACAGTTATCTACAATTTACAGCACGTTAAAAAAATTGCCACAAAGGTTTTCACTTGAAAAAAAACAAAACAGTTAGCAACACATAAGCAAATTAGTGTATATCTTTGTTCTGACAATAAAACGATAATTAAATGATTTAAGCACAATACTAAACTTCTCTCCGGTTGGTACAACTATGAAATTTTACCCTGGGGTCATAACTGGACTCACGTGAATGAGGGAACTCGTGCAATTAAGCACATCCAGCAGAACGTTGTTATTTACTACAATTCATGAAATTGTACACATGAATGTCATATATTGGTCTGTGTCAAGCCATTCCCGAAGTCGAATTCTAGTAACGGATGGAAGCTTAAGGATGGTTATGGCGTTGGAAACGAGATGTATTCACGAATTGCATCCTGCAGTTGGTTGAAACAAATATTGATAGCACAGAGAACTGTAAAGCGTTTTACTGAGATAGTATCTCATGAATCATATCACTGGGAATATATTGTTGCAATGAAGAAGCGTGTGTGGGGTCGCTTATAATCTGAACACTCCAACAGTTTAAAATATTCAAATTTTGTTATCGAGTAAATGTTGGGTGTGTTCGATAACACTACCATTATCTTCTGCGTGAATGACGTATATGGGCAATGACCCTCGTATTAACAAAACATTGACAAAAAAATGATAAGAACTTTTTCTAGATTTTAAAATAAGCTATATCATCGCAGTACACTGGGATGTTCCAAAACGAAGAGCATAATACAAATAAAAAGGCTACAATGACTTCAGATTTGCCCGCCTTTTCAAAAAAATATTCCAGACCCATGCTCTCTTTAATGGGCAGGCTGTTTTTTGAAAGAAGAAATACCTTGCATGCTCCGGCCCTTTTTTGATATAAAGATTATTGGCAACTACTGATCTGGTGTTGAAACCGGTTGATTTGGTACGCACAACAATCACTGCACATGCGTATTCATGTTTTTGTTTTATATAATCTAATGAATTGTAAGTCCTGTAAACGTAACATTTTTAATTCACAATGAGTATATCCGATTTGGTATACACATTAGAGTATACATATCAATATGTGTATTTTTGTTCATATTGCATGACTGTAACCCAAACACCCACCGTACTCGTAGCGCCATGTCGTTTTCGATATGGGATCCAATGTAATATTCTGAACTCTTCGCAGTCGCTACAGCCTATTTCGATACTTATATACTGTTAAAACACATACCGGCTTAGAATGTGTTAAGTTGCAGTTGCTACAGCATAGTTCGGAAGTTAATAATATTGTGAACTGGTTGCAGTCGTTACATTGTAATCTAGAAGTTTTGGGTACAGGCTGAAATTGTTGTGAAATAGAATTAGAAAAAATTCCATGTCGGCTATCAAACACCTAATTAGAACGGGTTTGTATATGTCATGTATATTACAGACATGAAACAATGGTATGTGGAAATTGAGGTGTACCAGTATAGTACATACAATTCGTTTTCGAATAATAAATGAATAATAATAATATTAAATGAGTTTTGTAAGTATTTCCACAGGTTTACAACATACATGAAATATGTGGCAAAATAAATGGCGAAGACTCTAAAACAATCCATTTTAGATCTGCGACCCACTGAAATGGACAATAATTGATTTTTGTTATTGAATAATAATAATATTGATGTACCAATGAATGATTTCATGCGATAAAATAGCAGCCATTTCACAGGCACTTTTTAAAATGGAACAATTAGTACTTCTGATATCAGTGTGAAAGCTGAAAATGGGCTAATTATGCAAATTAGGTAATTAATGTGCACTGATTTTAACCCAAGACTAATTAAATCTGTGCATTGTTTTAGAACATATATGTACCAAGTTCCATTGAAATGGGATGATTAGTGCTTGCAATATCAGTGTAAACGCCGAAAATTAACTAATTATGCAAATTAGTCGATTAATATTAAAAATGTTCACCAAAAACTAATCAGGTCTCTGTATAGTTCTAGAGCATCTATGCATCAAGTTTCATTGAAAAGTAATGGTTAGTACTTAAAATAGTGCATGCTGAAAATTGATTAATTATGTAAATTAGATAATTAGGTTTGTGTATTGTCCTATGACATATATATACTAAATTTCATTAAAATGTGATGATTAGTACTCGAGATATCAGTGAAAAAGCCGAAAATTGACTAATATTTATGCAAATTAGGTAATTATTATGCACCGAATTTTACTCAAAACTAATCAAATCTGCATTAGTCCAGAGCATCTATGTGCCAAGTTTCAACAAAATCCAATGAATGGCTCTTTAGATATCAGTGGAACGGTCATAGAACAGCTAAAAATTAGCTAATTATCATGAAAATTATGTAATTAATATGCATAGATTTTAACCAAAATCTATTCAAATCTATGCATTAGCCCAGAACATCTATGCAGGAAGTTTCATTATAAATCAACATACGGTTCTTGAAATATCAGTGGAACGGACAGACACACACACACAGTTGGCAATATAGATACATGTATATGGGGGATTGGTCATGTCAACTAACGTGCTATGGATATCACGGTGTTGGTACAGTGGACCAGACTATAGTAAGTGAGGTTCTACTCCGAAATAGTATCCAATTCAAAGTACAACAACTGGCATCCATCAAGTGACCATTGTGCCGTAAACACAATATTAAAGCGACGATAACAACACACGCTAAAAACGCAAAGGCTCATGGGTATCACAGTTATACTACACCTTGGCACCAATGATTTAAAGTCGATTCCCCCAAACGAGTGTCTAGACAACGCAATCGAAGTAATAAACATTATACGTGAAAATATACCAAACGCCCTGCTTATTGTCTCTGAGGTGATCAAACGACACGATAATAACCACAGAATGAATAAGATGATAGACGAATTTAATTTTCTATTGGCCAACGAAGCCGAACACAGCAATGGATATGTAGTCAAACATACGGACTTGTCATTCTCTCGATATTCCTATACACACGACGGAATTCATATCAACGACAAAGGAACTGCAAAGCTCGTCTCGAACATTAAACAAAAAATACGTCAGTTAGATGCAGAAGATTATTCACCGGAAGGCAGAAATCAATACACGAAAAGCCGAAGCTATTACAGCAATCGCCGATACTCAAATTCATCCAAAACCCAATACCAACCCAGATGGCACAAAGAGAATACTAGTCCCGAACAACGTCACCACATACATAATCGTCGAAGATGGCACGGAGAACAACACCACATAACCGACCAAACGCAAACTCGTTCCGTTATGAGTGACATAGACAGAAAATCTCCAAGAAACATGTTCACCAAATTTATGACATTCATGGATATTATGGATTCACTTTAATAACACTGGCTGCCATTATCTGGCTATTGACTATTGTCGACACGAAATAGACACCCCGATACAAATAAGGTAATTAGATATGCTTTATAACTAAGCTGTACATGTATACAGTATAGCACAGTGATCTCATCATTGCTTTCAAGTTACCATCCAAACATGTATACTACCTTTTTTCACTTTATATTGTTACACAAGGTAACACACTTCTTTTTAATAATATCATAGTTGTTTTTTTTTTTTTTAATATATTTTTTAAGTAGGTTAAACTTTTTGTTCCTAGTAACAAGTAGCTATAAAGTTTTAAGGTATTTTTAATATAATTTATCAGATACCTTTTTATAGATATTTTTCACTTTTGTCCCCATTTCTAAAATTCAGCACGAGTGCTTCCATTTCATCGTTTAAAGTCGGAAGTTGGTCTGAAACATTAACGGTCTGAAAAATAAAATTAATGATGATGATTTTATACATTTTACCTCATCACCTGACTGTCTACAAGAGACTTGGCTACACAGTAATAGTAATATAAATATTTCATGTAGCTTAGCTGAATATGAATTTGTACGTCAAGACCGATATAGTTACGGCAACAAAGGGAGAAGAGGAGGTGTTGCTGTCCTATTTAAACACAGGTTTAAAG